GGCATCTAACTTTTCTAGGTGATTTTTAACTTGTTCTTTTTTTTATTTCATCTTCTAAACCTATCCCCTTCCGACTAGCATTCACTATGTTAGGTATTCATACAGACTTCTCGGTGAAGACCGAAACAAAGAAGTCATTAAGCATCTCTGCCATTTCCAAGTTTCCTGTTACTGTTTCTCCCTCCTCACTGACCAGTGGGCCTACCCTGTCCTTGGTCTTCCTCTTGCTTCTAATGTATTTATAAAAAGTCTTCTTGTTTCCCTTTATTCCCGTAGCTAGTTTGAGCTCATTTTGTGCCTTTGCCTTTCTAATCTTGCTCCTGCATTCCTGTGTTGTTTGCCTATATTCATCCTTTGTAATTTGTCCTACTTTCCATTTTTTAATATGACTCCTTTTTTATTTTTAGATCATGCAAGATCTCATGGTTAAGCCAAGGCAGCCTTTTGCCATATTTTCTATCTTTCCGAGGCAGCGGAATAGCTTGCTTTTGGGCCCTTAACAATGCCCCTTTGAAAAACTGCCAACTCTCCTCAGTTCCCCCCCCTTACCTATCAGCTCTCTGAGCTTAGCCATGTTGTATCCCTTTCCTTATTTACTACAATTTGTAACTTCTGATTTTATTCATAGCTATCACCTTTCCCTTTCTTCATTTCCCCTCTACAACAGGTCATTTTTTTAAACTAAAATGGTGCTTCTTCCTCATTTGTGTGAGTACAGCTTTTGAGCATCATGTAAGATGCTCTGACAATTCCCAATTATTATTCACACTTTTCTGATTAAGTTTTTTTCCCCAGATAATCCGACTCAATTATATTCAGCTCTGTGAAACTATTCCTCTTAAAATACCAAATTTCTCTCTCACTGGTCTGGACTTCACTCTGATTCTGTTATAAACAGGGCTCGATGACTGTGGCGAAAACCCACTCGCCAGCCCCGCACCGTGCATGTGCCAGACCCACACTACGCATGCACGCACCGCCAGTGAACGGGGCGACTGGCTGAAATCTATTCGCCGTGGGCAAGTAGATAAGTGGATTTGTCGAGCCCTGGTTATAAACATGCAGAAGTCATGATCACTTGAACCCAAACTACCATTAATTTTTAGTTCTGTGATAATTTCCTCTGTCTAATATAGAATTCTCCCATTCAGCCTACCAGTTTTGTTTTGTTTTTGAGTTAGAAAATAGTCATCTATAATGTTTAGAAATCCCAAGGATCCCTGGATGAGAGGCTAATAAATGAAGTGTTAACATTTCAATAAGTGTCTGTTAAATTTTTCAAGCCCTGCCTTCAGGCTCCTATAAAGCTAAGCTGAAAAACTTGTCTTATACAATATCTTAAAGGTTGAAATATTGGAATCTATTATGTATTTGAGAGAGTTTGTCTGACTGTTTGAGAACTCCTCTTAACCTAAATGGTCAGAGCTAGGACCACCAAATTCTGTATACAGCTTCCTCTTACCATAACTTAAAGCAAGGTAAGGGTTTGGTTATGCCAGGAAAATGGGATGTTACTGGAACAGGATTGCTTCTCATAAAACCAAACAGAAAAGAGACAGAATCACCAAGCAGGTGAAAGCGGCTAGCTGGAAGTATGCCTCCCCGGGCCAGGATGGCCCCAGCCCTGAGCCTTCCACCTCTCAGGAGCTCTATGGGGCATGGGGTTGCTGAAAACCTCCCCTCCCAGTTTTGTATGGGGATGTTGTTGACTTTTCCCCTTCACCACTATCAGGGTGATGTGAAAGTGCACAAACTTAATCGAGTTAAGGAACTGAGCAACACTGGGTAAATGTTCTAGTGTGACTTGTGGGGAGCAAGAACAAACATCAGCACCAAAGTCTTTAGTTGGATGTTCTGGAACTTACACCTAAAAGTTCAGTCCTTAAAACAGTATAAAAATAAAATAATTCTAACTGATCTTAACAACAAAGAGCTAGACTCAAAAAATATAACTCACTTAACTGAAAAAGAACCCAGTTTCCTGAAAGACACTTAGGGTACGTCTAGACTACATGCCTCTGTCTCCAGAGGCATGTAGATTAGGCTACCAGACATAGTAAAATGAAGCGGCGATTTAAATAATCGCCGCTTCATTTAA